TTACTAGCATGTGAAATGAGTGCAATGGTGCGATAGTTTGAACATCCTTTGGCATTGCCTTTCTTTGGAATTGGAATGTAAACTGACCTTTTCCAATCCTGTGGCCACTGTTGAGTTTTCCAAATTTGTTGGCAAATTGAGTGTAGCACTTTTACTGCATCGTCTTTTAAGATTTTGAATAGCTCAGCTGGAATACTGTCACCTCCACTAGCTTTGTTGTTGCTCAGATTTTCTAAGGCCGATTTCACTTCACATTCTAGGATGTCTGGTTCGAGGTCAGTGACCATCTCATTGTGGTTATCTGGGATGTTAAGCTCATTCTTGTATAGTTCTTCTGTGTAGTTTTGCCATCTCTTCTTAATCTCTTCTGCTTCTATTAGGTCCCTGCCATTTTGGTCCTTTATCATGCCCATCTTTGCATGAAACTTTCCCTTCATATCTCCAATTTTCTTGAAGAGATCTCTGGTCCTCCCTATTCTATTGTTTTCTTCTATTTCTTTGCACTGTTCATTTAAGAAGGCATTCTTATCTCTTCTAGCGATTCTCTGGAATTCTGCATTCAATTGGGTGTATCTTTCTCTTTCTCCTTTGCCTTTTGCTTCCCTATCTGCATACCCCACCCAAACTCTAGGAGTCATTAGCACCAGGGAAGCAGGATATGATAATAGGACTAACCACCACCATGAAGAATACCAGAAAGGCACACCCAGACTCAGGTCAGAATACCTGACACAGGAAATACAAAGCCTAAAACAGGAACAGGAAACTATTGCAAACAAAATGCTTCAGTGGGTATAAAAACCTACTTCCCACATATGCTCAGCCCTTCTTTTCTCTCCTGTTTCCTGCCAGAACCATCTTTCAGTCTGGCTCTTCAATAAACTGCAACCTTCTTCCCAAAGCAGCCACCATGTTGTTTATTTATCCCCAGCTTGGATGAACCAGGATTAAGACTTTTCTTTCAACAGTAGTAAAATAAAATCCAACCCTTTTATCCTTATAATTCAAAAGAAAAAATACTCCATGCTTCCTTCTTTTGGCTGGAGTCTCAAAGATGGTTTATAACTTCAAAAATTAGTAGTAAGCTGTAATTAAAGAGAGTCTCTTTTAGCTCATAAAGAATAGTCTCATAAATTGATTAAGAAATGAAGGGCACAGTTTATTGTTTGCTTGAAAAGTAAATTCCAAAACGGCTGTTTTATCCAACAATGACGTGATTTCTATCCCACCCCCCAGCTTCAACTCACCCATTGTTCTGAAGCACGATTTCTAAAATGACTTGCAGGCTGATGCTGTTATCAAAGGATCTTAAGGGATGGTTGAGAGACCCTCTCTAATCCAGGAGGGTCAAATAAATAAGAGGAAACCTGTTCCTTCTGTTGATAAGTTGGAAAAATGGCAGTCCAGAGAGATGGAATTCTCTGGGCTTGTCAGCTGGCCATATTCTTCACCGAAAGTCTCAGATTAAATTCCAATTTTCAGTTGCTCTCCTTTCTGCAATTCATTTCACCCTGCTAATTTCTTTTCCAATTTTATTTAGCAGCTTCTTGGTAAAAAGATTTTCCCTCCACCTCTTTCTTCTTTGACTCTTTTTTTTTACAAGGAGGACCATTACCATCTACCACACAGTCTAAAAAAGTGTGTTGTGCATATTAAGCTGTCTAACATCTCTCATACCCTTTCACTTCCCAGGCTGCCCTTGTACTCCAGGGCAGCCTTTACCCAGAGTGGATCTCATTCTTTGGCTAAGAATCCCTTTGATTTTTCTTCCCCGGCTCAAAGCTTTCAGTAGAATCATAGATAACAAAGCAGCAGTGTATGGAGAAGCTTCATTGGGCCAAGAAGGTGAGCAGGCTAAGGTCAGGTGAGAAGATGAAGGGCTGAACTGATAAAAAGTCTGGAAGCAGCAAGAATGAAGAATGTTCCGCAAAATTCCATAAATGTTCCATAAAATTGAAGGAGGTGACCTTAACTGGTATCAGAGATCATCTTTCACCTTGAGATATGGAGTCTCTTCTCCATGGCAAGTTGCCCATATGTCACCTCAATGCGGAGTTTCATAAGCACAACCTACTAGTAGAGCAAAGGCCCCCATAATCATCCTCAAAGTGAGCAAAGTGTCAATGCTATGACAATTGAAAAACTGAAGCCATTTTACATTTTGCTTTCATTGCCACTTTTTAGTTTACAGATTTTAGATGAAGGAGGGGGAGGGGGGAATGTTAAGTTTCTTAGTTAGCCATAACAATACTTCTGTGTGAGAACCAAGGTCAGTGCTGAAAAAAGTTTTGGCAGGCTGAGAAAATGGGAGGAGAACCCATATTTTGAATGCATTGGTGAATGTGATTTATGACAGCAATTTTGGGGTGGGAATTGCAACTTGTTACTTTGTAGCCCAAGGGAGGGGATTTTAGTCTTGGGTTCATCTTTGTATGTGCCAATACTTTGTTTCCTAAATAAAATGTTCTTTAAGGAAGAAATCGTAGCCTGGAAGTTCTTTTAATTGGAACCATGACACAATGATTTTTCTCTTCCTATTTGCCCTATTTGACCTGTACACCAGTTGTTTATAGTATTGTTTTTGTATTTGGCATCTGATTGCATTTTGACCTGGCTGGCAGAATTTCTTCAGTATTGTTGTGAACAACATCTGTTTATTGTCAGGTTTTAACTTTGGTTCTCATTAGTTCACACTGGATGTATTGTTTGCTATACTTCCCTTTGGTTTTCCAAACTCTGCAGTAACAATTATAAATGGAAGAGATAAAAGACATCCTTGACCATCTTTATTTTTCAGGCCATTCTTGGTCCTTCTAAGAAGATTTTTATTCTCTATTTCTCAGTACGGATCCTTCATGACAGCTCAAATGGAAGAGAGCTTTCTGCATCTGTGTAACATTGCCCATTTTCTCTTCCATTCCAGCTTCATTCTTTCCTTCGAACCTCTCAGTTTTACAATAATTCCAACAATGGGGTATATTTGGATGAGAACGGAGAGCTGGTGGTAGACCTGGTCATTGTGAACACGGTGGTTTTCTCCAATATGTCTGTTAGCAAAGTGATAGTTGGGAGTCTAGAAAGAGTGGGATCCTTAAATTTCAAGCTCATGATGAACCAGAATGCGATTGCAAAGATGGAAATGCTGAACAAGGTGGGGAAAAGACTTTATTTTGTTTTTGTTTTTTAAGGTCTTACCAAGAGGATTGCAGAATTGGGGCAGGGATAGGGTTGGGATGTCATCTCAGTTCTCCCAGAATGGAAATATTTATTTTTGGTTAGATGTTCATGTGTCTATGAAAAAAATATCCTTAACTATTCCAGTTAACTGTTTATCAAACTTCTACAAGGAAGCTAGATTTATATCATGCGACAAAGTGATTGATTTTGTCAAAACAGAAATCCATTCAACTTCCTTTTCAGTAGGTACACTGAGAATTTAAAATAAAATTGTAGTGGGAGAAAAACTAGAAGAGAAGATAAATAGGCAAACAGCAAGCAACCAAATCAGTTTCTTGTAGGCTTCGAATTTAGCAAAGCTAAACCTTGACTTGAAGATCCCCAAACTTTTCCTTTTACCTCTTTTAGGAAATAATTCATGTTGTGGGAGTTATTTTTCCCCCTCTTTCTGCCCAGCCCCTACCTTCTTCCAGATGTGTGGAAAGCTGTCCTGCTGGATTCATGAAGGTGGCTCAGGAAGGGAAGCCCATCTGCTGCTACAATTGTCGTCCATGTGTAGAACGAACCATCTCCACCATGGAAGGTAGGTGGCAGCAGTAGAAAGGGGCAGACTTTGGGGAGGATGATACAGCTCCCCTGAGATTCTCCATGAACATACATGTTGGAAGGCTTGGCCAGAATTGGTCCCACCTCTCTGAGTCTTGATCAAGATATACATTTAGTATATCATAGTGAATTATAACAAAATACCTTAGAGATTAATCTGGTATATAGATTAAGCAAACAGGGATAGAGATCATGAACATGCAGGATAAGTGAGGGCTGAATATTGTGAGAGAGATGGCATCTCTTGCTCTTTATCTTTTACAACACATCTTCCATGTTTCAAATTACTATTTCCTTCATTGCTCCGAACAGTGAGAGTCTCCAGATTCCAGAATATAATATTTAAACTTTGATTGGATCTTTGGAAGAGGATTGACCAAATTCTGGCAAGAGTCCATGTCTAGTGGGCACTTTGGACAACCACAGTTTCAGGTTGTAGCTACTTGCCTTTAATCAAAGGATTTCTTTCTTTGCTAAAGGATTCTCACAGAGTGTCTTTGATGTGCTCCACATTCTACTTGCTGGGTGTGTGAGTGTATGTGTGTGGGAGTTGGTAGCACTATGTTATACTCTTTTGATTGTGCCATCTGCTCAAGGGGTGCCCTTTTTGGTCAGCTTCAGGTGACTCCTGGGTTTATACTTCCTAAGGCTGACATTGCAGAGGTTCTCCTCTTAAAGTTATTTTCAAAGTCTTGGAGAGGAGAAGAGGATGGGGGAGGGGAGGGGAGGGGAGGAGAGGAATTGTGAGTTAGGGTTGAGCCAAAGTTCCTTATTGATCTTATTGGAAGATGTTCCTCTTTCTGATAACAAAAAAAATGAGGAATGCATTTTGATGTCCTCACTCCATATCCAGCTCATCGTTAAGGGCCACTCCACCTAACGTTTCTTTCTCCATGGCAAAAGTAGCGTTTATCCACTTCAGCTGGCATAAGCTATGCTAAGTGAACCTTCACATATATTTCATTCCATTGTAGGCTGGATCTCATTGGTGCCTTAAGGCACTGACAAAAGGCAGAGCTTCAGTTTTAAAAAGGTTCAGCAGTGGAAAGGTAAAATGGTGAAACTGCCTTCCTTCCTTGAATCCTTTCTTCTTCCCTCCTTCTCTCTTAACAAGTTCATTGGTGAAATGGTGACATAAAAAAAGAAAAGTAATATTGAGATTTCTAAATGGAGGGAAATGAAGAAACACATTGACTTCATCTTTACATATCTTTATAGATGTTCACACCAAAAACTATTTTACACAAACAATGCTTTTCATTAAAGGGCATGTTAAAGGGAGAAACTATTCTTGCTCTTTTTCAGATGCAGACAAATGTACCAAATGTCCAGAAGATCAACATCCAAACATCAATCGAGTTCACTGTATCCCCAAGATTAAAAGCTATCTTTCTTATAAGGAAAATCTGGGGATTATCCTGACTTTCATTGTCTTGTTCCTCTCTTTAATCACAGGCTTTAGTTTGTGGGTCTTCATTAAATTCATGGAAACACCAATTGTCAAAGCCAACAACCGGGACCTCTCCTACATTCTCCTGGCCTCTCTCCTGCTTTCCATCTTGACCTCCTTTCTGTTCATTGGCCGGCCAAGGAGAGTGACCTGCCTCCTCCGACAAACAACCTTCAGCATTATGTTTTCAATTGCCATTTCTTCAATCTTTGCCAAAACAGTCACAGTTGTGTTAGCCTTTTTGGCCACAAAACCAGGGAATAAAGTGCAGAGATGGTTGGGGAAGAGCTTGGCCAACTCCATTGTCTTTTCTTGTTCTGGTCTCCAAGTTGTCATCTGCAGCATCTGGTTGGGCACTTCCCCTCCATTCCCTGACTCTGACATGTACTCCCAACCTAGAGAGATCATCCTAAAATGCAGTGAAGGTGCTGTCACCATGTTTTATATTGCCCTCGGATACATGGGCTTCCTATCTGCTGTCTGTTTCATAGTGGCTTTTCTGTCCAGGAATCTCCCTGGGACCTTCAATGAAGCCAAGCTGATCTCCTTCAGCATGCTGGTCTTCTGCAGTGTCTGGGTGTCCTTTGTGCCAGCCTACCTGAATAACAAAGGAAAGTACATGGTGGCTGTGCAGGTCTTCTCCATCTTGGCCTCCAGTGCTGGATTGCTGGGCTGCATCTTCATCCCCAAGTGCTATATTATTATTTTTAGGCCAGATCTGAACACCAAAGGACATTTGATGTCAAAATAAAATAGAAAAAAATGACTTTTACAAATCTATTATTTTTCAAAAATGTCATTTAGTAGGCTTGATTAATAGATTTCGATCATTTAATGTTTGTTTTTTTATTTCTTTATTAAATCTAAATGTTGCACATCTTGGCTAGGGATGACTCTAGGCAGCTTACAACCCAGACAAAAGAAAACAAAAGATTAAAATAATAAATAGTAGCATTAACATTGATTTAAAATTGAGAAAGATGGAAGGAAGAGAGCAACATGCACATGGGGAGGAGGTATTCTTCTTATTCCCAAAGAAACCAATAGCAATGCACCATGTCTCATTTTAGTTACAATAGAGTAAAATCAGTTTCCAGATAGATGAGACTGTTTGGTAGGCAAATGGAGATATAAGGATTGCGGCTCATAATGACCGTGGAAATTTTTATCAGAACATCCCTATAGCAACCACTGAATCTGAAGATGCAAATGTTTCTTCTAACTAAGATCATTTTTTTTTTGCAGATCTAACAGAAGGGCAACAAATAACCTGAGATTGACCATCATTTATGAATGTGTATATATGGATCATTTTCTCCCTTTTTGTATCGTTTTCCCCTCCTTTCTGAAATGTATAAATATTTGTATAATTATTTAATAAACAAATAAACCCAACTCATACATGTGTAGCGGAGAGGGGAGTTGGGGTGGGATTGGCTCTGGCTGGGAGGGTTTGCTGGAGTTCTGCGGATTCGACGTGGAGGTTAGGAGCCCCCAACAGCCTCCACGGTGGCTGGTGGTGTGGCACGGTGCTTGGGGAGGCATTAAAAAGGAAGAGGAGGTTGACTGGGGGATAGCTTTTCTTCTTTTTTCCTGGTGGGGAAAGCCAGACAGAGGGAGAGTGAGGGAGGAGGTTGGCTGGATTTTGTTTTTATCCTTTTCGGTGGGGCAAGCCGGATGGAGAGGGAGGGATGGAGATAGAGAAGTTTCTTTCGAGCAAGCTTGGAGGAGAGAAGAGAAGAGAGAAGGAGAGGATTCAGTGGGAAAAGGCCAGAAAGAGAAGAGGAGATAGAATAAGGGAGGTTCCTATGAGCTGCTGAGAGAGACCAACCATCATCACATCACGTGAGCTGCTGCTGACAGAGATTGACCATCATCATCTCGTGTGAGCTGCCTTCTGACAGAGACTGACCATCATTATCTCATGTGAGTTGCTGCTGACAGAGGGCAATGGATGCCAATGATTCAGAAAGGGAGGAAGGGGGCACAGAAGGATTCCTGTCTCCTCCCTACTATTTTTTATTTTTGTAGCAATTTTAGCTTTGAAAATACTCCCTTGTTGGAGCAACGAGGTTGTAAAGGTGAGGATGAACTGGTAGGTTGGGAATTTTTTTTAATGGTGCTGCTGCAAAGCAAGAATGTTTTTTCCTGAAAGCTGAATTAAAAGATTGATAACTGCTAAAATCAGTATCTTCTAAGTAGCCCCCTCTCTCTTCCAGAAGAAGCAAAAAAAGGATTGCACTTCTTGGGTCAAAGTGAAGGTTATGGACTGCTGGAGAAATCCCATCTCGTAGCAGTTAAAGAGGTTGCTGTAGCTCTCGCTCTTCTTTCTCCCATTCCTTCTTTTCTTCCCTGATGGGAGGATGCTGGAGGTTCTTCGGCTGCAGCCCTGAGAGGGAGGGGTGATTGCATGGGTCGATGACTTGTTGCTGTGTGCTGATGACACCCAGGCATATGCAAAGTTTCCCATGTCTTGTTTAAATGTCTTTAGACAAACCGCAAAATAAATCTGGGTAAAGGCTGAGATTACCCAAGTTCTCTCCAAAGTTCTGTGTCTCTATGCCTGCCTGTTTCAATCAGAAAAAGAATTGCCGCTTTTTGGCAGTTGGAACAACTGAAGCCGCCTCCTTGTCCTCCTTCTCACAAGCAGACGACAGGCAGGGCTGGGGAGACCAGATCTTAGAGAATCTGAAGAAGGGAAGCTTTCGGCCTGGGGGAGGCTGGGGCAGGTGGAGGGACAACCTCACCCATGCATCAAGCAATGGGGATGACATGCCAGAGAGCCAGCAGAGTCCTCTCAGTCACTGGAAGTTTGTGAGTGTTGTATGGGGGGACAGTAATGTGAATCTGAGCAGATTCCAGTTACTCAAAGTCCTGGATTCCTTGTTCACGTGGTATCCCATGGCCGGGAGGATATTGGCCTAATGTAGGTTCAAACCATAGTCACAAGCCCAGACAAGCGTGCAGGAACATAAACCTCATTGGGGGCTCCCCACTTGACAATAGTTGGGAGGACCATATAGGGCAATCAAACAGAGAAAAGGTTTATGGGCTTGCTAGCTCTATAATTGGCTAAACAGCCCTAGCAGCCCATGTCTACCTCAATATTAGAAAACTGGCTTGTTTAGTAGTAAAAAGTATAAGCCAAACTTCAAACGCTACTCCTCTCCTGAATGAGGATCAGGAACAGCAAAGAACGGCAATTTTGCAGAACATCCTGGCCATGGACTTTATGCTATTCAACACGGCCCATGGCTGTGAGGAGTTTTCAGGTTTGTGTTGCTTTAAACTCACTGACAATTCCTTGACATCCTTTACCTGTGAATATGTACACTTACATCATTTGTTACTTAGTCTCTCCTGACATTTTGAGATACATAAATATGTGTGCATCTATTTATTATGTGTGGGCCTGTCTCTCAATATTACCGTGTTTCCCCAAAAGTAAGGCCTACACCGAAAATAAGCCCTTGTTTTGGGGTGAGGCACACACCTAAAAATCAAGCTAGGGAGGGGTTGGGGGTGTGGAGCTGCCCCATGTGCCCCACACACATTTATATTGGAGCCAGGCTTCTCCTTGCCAGCCCACTTCTTCTGCAGCATCTTCTGCAGCCAGGCCTGCATTTTTCATTCACAGGCCTTTCCAGAGAGCCACTGCAGCTGAGAACTGAGCTATGGATTGAATCCTTAGCTCGGTACTCAGCTGCAGATGCCTTTGGGAAAGACCATGCTTTGATGCTATGTTTTTTGCTTATTCTAGTTAGTTAGTAGTGGACATTTATATTTCCAAGCGGGGAGTGTGCTGTACTAGTCAGTTAGCTTAAGAACTGTATTAGAATGTTTAGCATTTACAGGGTTAATGTTGTATCATTGAGAGAACTGTATGTTAGAACATTTAGCATTTAAACAGTTAAATGCTGTTTCCTTAAGAGATGGCTTATGAGTAATATAGTTTTTGCTGTTAGTTAATTCTATAGTTCATCTAGATAGTGGGAGGAGTTAAAAAGTTATTGCAGGACATCCTGTTACGTGCTAGGGGAAAAAAATCTTTTATGTGAAACCAGCATGTGGATGCATGCATGGCATCTAAAACCATGCTAAAGCTGATATGGAGAATTACTGTTTTTTACCTATGAAAAATGGACAAATAGTGTAGAATATGTAGTGTTTCAATTTCAACCACTCTAATTGGATTTGGTGCTTCTTTCATTTTTCTCCTGATGGGCTCTTTCTCAGCAATCTCCATTTTTTAAAGCTCCAGAACAATTTTTATCCTTTTCTTGGCTTCTTGTCTCTTAGCCTCCCTTTCCAACTTCTCTGGGCTGAGGTGCTGAGCAGACTTTCCTCCTTCTGGTGAGGAATCTTCTTTAGCAGACATCTTTATAGCCTCTGCCTTTCTGACAGGATTGGCATACAGGTATCTTTGCCACTTCTAAGTTGTGTGACTGCCCTAGCCCCACCTAGCCTATCCATTGTTGCCAGTTTCTGTGGGGAAAAAAATTAAGGACCTGTGGTTGGTATGTGACCTCTGCTGATTATCAGAGGAATACTTTTTTTTAAAAAAAACCCCACCTCTTGATTCCCTTCTAGTATTATATAATAGTGGAAAAGGTGTCCTCAGAATTAAATCTTCACTGCCTCTGAGCTGCTTCAGTTCTGAAGAGACCCAGTTATGGGGGAGCAACTCCTAGCCAATTTGCTCTCCTTGCTCCCTTCCTCCCTCTGGGGAATTAGAAGAGGATTGAAGGGAAAATCCTCACTACCTATGGTTAGAGTGTCATCTCTGCCAGTGGACAGTGGAAACAAATCTTTCTTCTTAAAGGAGGGAAAATTCCTTCCAAAGTGCAGTATCCTACTTCTTGTGGAATCAGATGTTGGACCCAAAGAAAGTAACAAACTCTTACTACAGTATTTATTAGCATGTACCAGAGGAACTTTCTCAAATACTGTGTTTCCCTGAAAATAAGACTGGATCTTTTTTTTTGCCTCCAAAAGATGCATCAGGTCTTATTTTCGGAGGACGTCTTACTCACCTCTGGTACCAACAGCCCTTACACCACTATAAAGCCCAGGAAATGACTCATATAGCTCTTGTCTTGAAGAGTTGCGTAAGCTAAATATTGGTTGACATGTGTGCTGAGGAAAAGGAAGAAAACCAATAGTTTAAAAAACATAATATTTATTCATTTTTTTGTTTACTTATTTATTCATTATTAGTGTATTTGATGATTATCTTGAATCTTCATCTAACTAACAAACTTCACATATTTATTTCCTTCAGTTTTAATAAACATAAGTTGTCAAGCAAATCCAAAGGAAGAATATATAACCAATAATAATGGATAATTAGAAGTTACCAACCTAAGAAACAATTTCACAATTATTCCCCTGCTTTTGCCATTAGATCTTCCTTAGTGTTTAGATCTGGTCTCAGGATGATAATGTAGCACTTGGGAAGAAGATGCAGCCCAACAGTCCAGCACTGGAAGCCAAGATGGAGAAGGTCTGCACGGCCACCATGTATTTTCCTTTAGTGCTCAGGTAGGTGGGGAGGAAGGAGACCCAGACACTGCAGAAGACCAGCATGCTGAAGGTGATCAGCTTGGCTTCATTGAAAGCTCCAGGCAGGTTCCTGGCCAGGAAAGCCACCGTGAAGCAAATTGCAGCAAGGAAGCCCATGTAGCCAAGGACAACATAAAACATGGTGACAGAGCCTTTGTTGCATTGAAGGATAATCTCTTCAGACTGGGAGTAGAGATCAGAGTCAGGAAATGGGGAAGAAACTCCCAACCACGGGGCACAGAGGAGAATTTGGACAGCAGAACAAGAAATGATGATGGAGTTGGCCAAGCTCTTCCCCAACCATCTCTTCACTTTATTGCCTGGTTTTGAACTAGGAATGCCAGCACTACTGTGATAGTTTTGGCCAACACAGACGGCACGGCTACTGAGAAGACAATGCTGAACACTGTTTGTCGGAGAAGGCAGGTGGCTTTCCTTGGTTGGCCAATGAAGAACAAGGAGGATAAGAAACAAAGCAGAAGGGAGACCAGGAGGATGTAGGAGAGGTCCCAGTTGTTTGCTTTGACAATAGGAGTTTCAAGGTATTTAATGAATACGATTAAAACAAAGCCTGTGATTAGGAACAAGAGTAGAGCAAAGGAGATGAGGATGATGCTGAGATGTTCTTCATAAGACAGGAAGTTAATTCTTTTGGGGATACACTGGACTCGGTTCTCAATTGGATATTG